GCACTGCCTTCTGAGTGCAGGGATCACAGGCTTGTGTCACCATACTCTGTGCAGTGCTGGTGATTAAAGCCCAGGCGTGTGTAGGGTCCTGCACTGTCCTATCAAGTGGGCCACATCCCTAGCCACAGGCAATAGCTTTAAAAGCAAAGCAGCAGAGGAAAGCAGGCAATTCTACTCCATCAAAACACACCTTTGTGACTGCTGAGATGACAGCCTGATGATTCTCTACTCTGCCGCCCACATAGTAGAAGAGAACCGGTTTCTGCAAGTTGTTTTCTGTCCTCTACTTGCATGTTCATAGCATGTGTACCTACATGCATATATAGTTAATTAAAATACAAACTTATTGTGCTTTATAGGACTTATCAAGAGAGTGAAAAACCACCCTTGGCATTACATATATTGCCAGACAATATAAATAATATTTGATGAAGATTGACTCTCTAGTCTATATAAGAATAGGCAAAGAATTTGAATAGGTATTCCGCAAAAGAAGGTATACAATGGCCAATATACACATGAGAAGATTCAGCACAGCTAATGATTAAGGCTGGTGAGGCAACTCAGCAGTAAACGCAAGAAAGAATCAACTCGTGAAAGTTGCTCTCTGGCCTTCACACATGTGCAGTAACACTAAGTGCTCACACATGCATAAATAATAGGTGAAATAAATTAAAAAATAAACACTGTGAGATGTGGACGTACTGTTGTAACCCTAGCACTCGGGAGACTGAGGCAGGAAGATTGATTGTCACAAGTTCAAGCCAGTCAGGGGTAGTGAGATAGTGAGGTCCTGCCTCAAAAACAACAGAACAAACAAATTCAAACCGCAGTGAGATGCCAGTTCATACATGTTATGATGGCTATGATTAAAAAAACCATTCTAAGTGGTAGTTATGTTGTACCTGTTCCTGTTACTTGGGACCTGGAGCATGAGAATCACTTGAGCATAACATAGAAGACTCCCATCTAAAAATAAAGCAGAAAAGACAAGAAGCAATGTTCACAAAATGTAGAGAAATCTGAGCCCTTACATTGCTGGGGGAATGTAAATGGTGCCCTGCTATAAAGAGCAATATAGTGACTGCTTGAAGAACAAAGGCACACTCCATGTATATTTTCATAGGTATTATTTAACATAAACGAAAACATCCAGATAAAAACTTGTGCCAGTATGTTCATATTATCATTCATAAAAGCCAGAAGTGGAGGGGGTGGAGAGATGGCTCAGTGGTCATGAGCACTGACTGACCTTCCAGAGGATCCAGGTTCAGTTCCCAGCAGCCATGTGTTGGCCCACAACAGTGGTAACTCCAGTTCTAGAGCCTCCAGTGCCCATTTCTGGCCTCTTTGGTCACCTCATGCACATGATGCACAGACATACACGAGGCAAAACACCCATACACAAACTAAAGTCATAACTTCTCTCAAGGCCCAAAGTAGGGACAGTTCAGATGCCTGTTAACTGGTGGGTAGATAAACAGAATGTGTCGATATCTAGCAGTACTGTTTGGCCATATGAAGTATGAACTGTTCATGCGACCACAAAGTGAGTCTTAATATGGAAGACATTCTGTATATGAAGTCGAATAGTCACAAAGAACTGCATTTGGTATGCATTTTGCTAAGGTATTCATAATTGGCAAACTGATTAAGAATTACTAGTGTCCTATGGCTGGTGTAATAAATGATTGCAGATGTAGAGACTTTGGTCTCTGAGTCCCATGGCTCTCTCTTGGGGCTTTCCTTTCTTTTGAAGGGTAACACATGTTTGTCATTAGCTAGTTTTGTTTCTACCTGCCTTTCTTTTCTGTCTCCCCCCTTTTTTTTGGACAGGGTCTCACTTTGTAGCCCAGACTGGTCTTGAACTCACTATCTTGCCCTGCCTCATGTCTTGTGTCTTTTGTGAACAGAACTATGAAACAGCATGTTTTTGAGATAATGAATAAAGCTCCACCATTTCCTTCTGATGTTTTCAGTTGAGATGAACTGAGATTAACCTTACAGAGTTGTTTGAAAGCAAATTTCATCTGGAACCATGCATGTTATATATGAATACCTTGGCTTCTCATATCATTATTCTTCCATGAGAACTGATGTAGTTCTGAGGTTTTGTTTCTTTTTTTTCTTCTCTATCAGAAAATGACCACTTAAAAGATCTTTTTTTCCTATAGTATTCTGCCAACAACTATTTGTTTTTGATGAGTTTCAAGTTTTTCTTTTGATTTCTTTCATTTTCTCAGTTGTGAAAGCTTGACACACTTTCTGAGTGCATACCAGTAGCACGAGATGTTTGCACAGGGCTATTTCCTGCCTGGTTCCTGATATTTGATACTTTCTGTGATTAGTCTAACCCTTAACATTTCTTCTGCAGATTTAAGTGACTGTATTCAAACTCCTTGGGTCTTTTACAAAAGGTAGCATGCGGTGCAGAGTAGTGGGTATTTGAAAGCCTGTGAGGCTGACACCCACACTTTCCTGTTGTGTGTGTGTGGGGGGGGGGTTCATGCTCAGGCCTCACACATGCTCTGCTGCCAAGCTATGTCCCCAGCTGCTCCTGAGCCTTCTCATCATTTCTCTGTAAACTAGCCAGTGATAGTCATCTTTGTATCAATCGGTGGGAAAGAGTATTAAGGGCATTAATGCATGTAAAGTCTTTATACCTGGGCCTGGTACTAGTTATGGGGTTGTTGTTTATAGTCTCGTAAACTGCCTTGGATGCAGCCTGGACACATAAAATTGTGATGATGAGCAGGGCAGAAGGGGGTAGAGAGATAAGGGCAGTTATCTGCCCCTCAGCCTCTTTTCTCAGTCATCCTGGAGGTTTTAGAGGACTTTGGAGTCAAAAGGTTGGGAATACACACAACCATGGGAAGGTCAGTTCAGCCACCAGCTAAGGAATAAAAGGCAACCAAGCATTGACAAGGGCGCAATGACAGTAGCTGAAGTCTCTTGTGGAAAGTCTCCTTGGCAGTTCTCCATACCCCAACATATTCCTAGATGACCAGCCTTTGGGAGATATATAGAATATGCTCTGCATGGAGGAAAGCCCTGTAACTACTTACTTTCTGTCCCCATCCTGCTGTCCTGGTCTATAGAGCTGAACTGGACCTTGATGACTGTCATACTGCAAACCAGGAGTGGTGCTGGTCTGAACATGAGTTTGAACCCTAGCCCCAGGCACTGGATCTTTTGTCCCAGCCTGTGTGTGAAAAAGACTTTGAGGAAATCCTCCTGTGCTTGGTCTGTTGTGTCTTAGGTCTCAGTAAACACAGGCCATTCCTTCTAGAATCTACTTCTTCCAGTCATGTCTTTCATGGTAGTAGAAAAAACTTTGTAAACTATTTTAAAGATCATAAGAGAAAACAGTCCAGGCCTTTAACAGAAAGTCACATAAGGTTCTCCTCCACTGGGCCTTGGCCGTCTCGTTTCCACTCCTGGTTCTTCGGGTTCTAACATCCCTGGTCCCCACTCACCACGTGACTATACTTTAGATAACAGACCGTTAACTGTGGGGCTTTCGTTCACCCTTGGCAGATTGTCTTTCAGTCAGAAATTGATGGGGCATTGGATAGGGGTGTGTTGACAGATCTTTAATTTCCCTCTTCCAGCTGTGTGTCCTTTCCCGCTGTCTTACCCCGCCCCCTTGGTGACAGGTTTCCCCCAGCTTTCCCTTCATCTTACTCTGTACTGATTCCTTTAGTGGGAAAACAATGCTAAATGGAGCCTGGAAATCCATGAGAGACAACAGCTGTTCAGCCCATGTTTATCTTCTGTCATTTGTTACCTTGTCAGTTCTAGGATAACTTTGGAGAACAACTCATGCAAACAGCAGATACTGAGGGCTTTGCTCTGTAGATGGAGGCTGCTTGTTTGTTTCCCAGCTGCCAAGACCCGAATAATCACACAGAAATTATATTAATTACAACACTGCTTGGCCAGCAGCTTAGGCACCTTTCTAGCTAGCTTTTATGTCTTAAATCAACCCATTCTATTAATCTGTATATCACCACTGATAAGGGTCCCGCATCTCCTCCTTCGGCAGCTACATGGCATCTCCCTGACTCTGCCTGCTCTCTCTATATATCTCTTCCAGCCTGGCTATATTCTTCTCTGCCATAGGCCAAATCAGCTTCTTTACTAACCACTGCTAGTAAAACATATTCATAGCATACAGAGGGAATCCCACTTCATTGCTCTTCTGAATTGCCATGCTAGCAGAATGGGCATTTCAGTGGAGGAAGGGATGGATGGCATGGGATTTTAACCCAGGTATCTCTGTTCTATACCTCAGTGTAGACTCCTAGTAGTTATTTCCCTAGAAAACCCGGGAGTGCCTTAGATACACAGAATACAGTCAGTGGAAGGCAAGCCCCACTGGGCAGTTTCAGAAACAGGACAGCACAGAAGAAAGACCTGTGCAGGCAGTAGTCTTCAGCCGTCATATTTGAGAGGGGCTTTGCTTCTCTCATCTGTTCAGCTATCAGAAGAGCATCCTCAGTCATCCTGGAAGGGCTTTGGAGAAGAAGGAAGGACCATATCTTTCTTTTGAAATACTCATGCAGATTTCTGTGTAAATACCTGTCTCACCAGCAGGGGAAAGGTTACCACAGTGTTGTCACAAAAAGCAAAAGTACTAATTTACCGGTAGTGCAAACCTTGTGACCTTGGGCCAAGTCCTGGGACACCACACAGACTCACATTGATTGCCCTGTGATAAGAAGGGACTTTCCATGGGCTTCCTAGACGAGTGTCTCTTCATTGGGTGGAAGCTCTCTACGCCCTTCTTTACCTCTGAGGGGAAGTCGCTGACGGCCTCCTTATGAGAGATGGATTCCAGAGGAAGCCAAGTGGGGTGAGTGGCTGTGGCCATCTCAGGCAGTTCAGGAGATCAAGACTTGTAGGAAGAAGCTCAGCTGGGTGGCTGGGCCTCACGGGGTGGCAATCCCATGCCTTTGTTTCTCCATGGGGATTAAAGTACTTCTTGTTTTTACTTTTAGGATGAATACCTTTCCCTTGTGGCCCGGCTCATTATCCATTTCAGAGATATTCGTAAGTAAGAGTTCATATTTTGGGGTAATTGTGGTTCTTTGAGGGGCTTGTTTTGTGGCTGTGTAGTAGGAACTCTCAGGTAGGCCTTAGCACCTGAATTAGAACATTGCATTTTTCTGGGAAGTTCCTCACTGCTTCTGGATTCTCCACCCTCCTAGGTCTCAGCCTCAAAAATGTGGATTTTGACTTGGAAATGTTGATCTTAAAGTGATTTAAAGTGGCTGCTGTTCTCACTCCTTTGTATGACTTCTGCCTTTGTCCCTAGGTAGTTTTTAAGTGAGCAGTTTACTTTGTAAGGGGATTTTATCCCAGAAAAGTTGATTTTACTAATCCTAGGGAGGCCTGAACTGTGTGTTTCTGAGACTGAAGTTTTTGAAGTCAGTTTCCAAAGTCCTTGCTCCCTCTCCTTGCTGTGCTGAGTCCCTTTACCTCAACTCTTGTCCCCTCTGATTCAGAGGGGATTGTTGTGGTGTTAGCCTGGTGAGCAGCTCCCCAACTTTTCAGATGTGAGTTGTCATAACCTCCAGGGGCAAGATTCTTGGCACCTTTGTGTTAGACAGAGGCATCAAGTGCTCCTGGATGGCTGCAGCCTGTGCTGGGCACCAAGCTGGTAAACACTGACTTCCAGCTGACAGTTGTCTAAGCTGTAGACAAGCTTGTCTTGATAGGCCCATCCCAATCCCCCACCCCACCCAACCGCACCCCACTTGAATTGGGGACAAAATGTAGGTTGTAGTGGTAGTCGCAGCTTTAAGTGTCAGGTCACTGAGAGCAAGGGAGGACATTGTGAATTCCAGTGCTCAGTGATAATAACTTCATACTGACTTTTTTTCCCCCAAGACAGGGTTTCTCTGTGTAACCCTGACTGTCCTGGAACTCACTCTATAGACTAGGCTGGCCTTGAACTCAGAGATTTGTCTGCCTTCTGAGTGCTGGGGTTAAAAGTATGTACTTCCATGCGCTACTACTCCACACTAACTTTTAAGAAAAGATTATTAAATTTTGTGTGTTTTTGTATATGTGAGTGTATGTATGTGTATGTGTGTGTGAGTGTGTGTGTGTGTCTCTGTGTGTGGCTATGCACATGTGAGTGCAGGTACCCGTGGAGGCCAGAGGCATTAGGTCCCCTGGAGCTGGAGTTACAGGCAGTTGTGAGCTGCTAGATGTGGGTATTAGGAACCAAACTCTGGTCCTCTGCCAAAGTAGTGCATTCTTGGCCTTTAATCCCTGTACTTGGGAGGCAGAGGCAGGCAGATTTCTGTGAGTTCAAGGCCAGCCTGGTCTACAGAGTGAGTTCTAGGACAGCTAGGGCTACACAGAGAAACCCTGTCCGAAAACCAGTATATATTTGCCTACAGTAGTGTTAGACTGGCATAAAACTAGCCAGCACAACCATTGAACCATCTCTTCAACCCAGTTCCACAGTAAGTTTTTTACCAGAATGACCAGCAAGGTAGACTTTTCCGATCTTACTTTCTTTGGGGTATTGGGTGGAACTATGGGAAAAGAGAAAGACTGGAGAGCAGACAGCTGTGTATCCTGGCCTGGATTTCCATGCCCAGCTCTTTAGGATGATGGCCTGGGATGTACACAATCCACATGCTCACATGGAGGGACTAAGCAGGAAGTTCTGGACCACCAATTGTTAGGACACTTCTTTCCTAGGGGCTGGGTGTGACAGACAAGATTCCCAGCCGTGAGCAACATCAGGTAGACTTGGTTTCTTCACCGAGAAAATGGAGATGCTCGTATTCTCAGCACTGTTCTTTTATCCCCAACATGGGTTCTTGTCACTCCTGTTGTTATTCAACATCTGAGCCAAGACTTTGGACATGGAGGAAAGTAAAGGCCCAAAGTCTCTCAGCTTATGGTGTGTTAGCCTTGTGGGTTCACTAAGATAAACCCCCAAGTTTCTTTGCCCCCTCTGTGCCCAGACTTTCTTTGTGTGCAGCAGTGCTGGGGGTAGGCATCTCCTCCCTAGTTACTAGAATACCAGCAGCTCTTTGGAATTGAGGCTCCATTGGCCTTGTTTCTATGCATGGTCAGTTCAGTTTTAGCAGATGACCCTGGTCAGACACCTGCAGAACTGACCTATCCTGGGAAATGTGCGTTTATGCAAAACTGTTTACATTGGGGTTTTGTATTTGTGTTTCTTTGTAGATAACAAGAAATCACAAGCTTCTGTCAGTGGTAAGTTCTCCTTTCGAAGTTCAGTTTTCCCAACCTCCAGTTTTGAATGGCAGGTATAAGAGAGTGCATGTCTTGTGTGTGGGTCAACTGCTTACTGGACTTGAACACTGAATAGATCTCAGGTGGAGTGGCCACTGACCAGAGCTGTGTCCCAGCCTTTTCTCCATCCTTTGCTTTCTTGTACACTGAAGTTGCCCCAATGCTTTTCCATCTTGTTTTGTTTAGCAGAAAGATCATAAAAACTTAGAAGGCTTTGATACATTACCTAGAAGAACCATTGTATTGTGGTATATTAGTGTAATAAGCCATAGTGATATGTCACAGATAATAGCTGTGGGAATTCACTTCCTTTGTTTCTTTCTCTTTCGGGTGTGGGGGCATGTTTTTGAGACAGGTTCTCTCTTTGTAGCTGTGGCTGTCCTGGAACTATATGTAGTTCCATATAGTTCAAATTCACATAGATCTGCCAGCCTCTGCCTCCTGGGGTGTTGGGGCAAAAGATGTACACCACCAGACCCCCAATTGTATTCACTTTTTTGTTGTTATTTTGTTTAGTTTTGTTTACTTACATTTTATTTATGAGTGTTCTGTATATATACATGCATGCATATATATATATATATATATATTGCAGAAGAAAGCATCAGATCCTATTATAATTAGTTTTGAGACACCATGTGGTTGCTGGGAATTGAATTTAGAACCTCTGGAATAGCAGCCAGTGCTCTTAACTGCTGAGCCCCCATTTTTTATTTTTTAAGACAGGGTTTCCCTGTGTAGCCCTGGCTGTCCTGGTACTTGCTCTGTAGACCAGGCTGACCTCAAACTCAGTTTCGCCAGCTTCCGCCTCCCCAGTGCTGGGATTAAAGCCATCCATGTACCACCAATGCCCAGCATATTCATTTTAAGTTACAAACTTATTTATGAGTTCAGAAACCTTTTTTTTTTTATTTCAAAGTTTATCATCTAAGGGAAATTGTGTCCATTGAATTGAACCGTGGACTTTGTCTTCTGAGCTGTCATCATTTGATTTTCAGATCCACTCTGGCCAGCTGATCTTCAGCCTGTCAGAAAAGGGAATGAGTTCTGTGGAAAAGTGCTTACGTAGAATGTGGAAGGTGCTCAGCTCCGTCTGCAGAACCACCACCACTACTACCAAAAAAGTGTACACTAGCACTGCAGCCTGCCTGTGAGGCTAACCCTGGGCCTGGAGCTGTACATGTAGTTCTCCTGCCCACAGCCCAGGGCTGGACAAGTACATATGGCTTGGAGAATGCCTGGCCTCTGTAGTGTTGAATCACTGTAGTGTAGGCTCATTGGGCACTACCCAATCCTGTGGCCAGATGACCAGCCAGGTGATGCCTGTCTAAAGGCAATTGTCTCCTGTGAGTTTACACTACTGTGATGATGATATCTGGCTGCTTGTCTTTGATTGTGGCATTGCTTACTGACCTACTACACCTAGTGTCCTGAGGCTTTAGTGGGCATGGCGTTGCCCCTCAGCATTCTGTGGAGCTCTCTCATATTGCTTTACTTGTTCTGATATACTGCTCCTGGCCTCGGGTCTATGTTGGAGTGGTGTTCTATAGAGGTTTGGCTGCAAAAACTAGGGCATTGGTATGCCAGCCTACTTGTGCTCGCCCTAGGGAGTGCCTGCCAGTGCCCTCTGCTTCTTTAACCTAGCCGCCATGTTCCTTGCCTACTGGGAAGAAGAGCTTCATACTTTGGTGTCTCTGGAAGTCTGCTGTGGGCTTACCCCATAGAAGGGCTGGACAGTGAAGAAGGGTCTGGTCGCTAGTTGGCCTGACGTGAAGCTGTGCACATCAAAAGCTCCATTGTAACCCAGCTTTAGGACACTGACACAGGCTGGGGTGATACATGGAGTATGTTCCCCGGTCAGTACCCAGACTCTTGTCCCCTGGGAATTTGGGGGAATTTCAGGCTCCTACTTGTTTGGGAATTTGAAGTGATCAAACACATAGGAGGGAGGGGATCCATGCCCAGAAGCCATTTACCTGTGAGACTGCCCAGTTTGTGTTGTTTTCCTCAGACTGTGTTCTTGTGTCCCCACAGACCCCATGAATGCACTGCAGAGCCTTACTGGTGGACCCACTCCAGGAGCAACTGGAATTGGCATGCCTCCTCGGGGCCCAGGACAGTCCCTAGGCGGGATGGGTGGCCTTGGCGCCATGGGACAGCCAATGCCCATCTCTGGGCAGCCACCCCCTGGAACCTCTGGGATGGCCCCTCATGGCATGGCTGTGGTATCTACAGCAACTCCACAGAGTGAGTACTATACTCCTTGGCAGGTGGCACTGCAGGCTGTTCTGTGGTTAAGGTGTTATTGGGAAAAGTGTCAAGGAGTACCAGATAGCTCTGTCCTGGATATTGAGGTACACAGGAAAACACCAACCCTTCTCTGAGCCTAGAGGAGTGAGTAATGCTGGCCCTCCTAGCCGGGGCTGTGAGGAGGGGGAGAGACTTGCTGATTTGGAGGTTTGTGGTATGTTTGGTTGATGGGTTGGGTTTTTGTTTTGCTTTGGTTTTTCTCTCTTCTCTCTCTTCTCTTCTCTTCTCTTCTCTTCTCTTCTCTTCTCTTCTCTTCTCT